TTTCAAAATTATTATTTGTTTAGCTTTATCTCATTTTTATATGTTTGTGTATTTTTTTTGTAATAAAATAATAATTATGTAATAAAATTTAAAATGACCTAAATAAAATTTAATTGTCATTGAATAAAAAAGAAAAAACAATTGTCTTGACAATTTTTAACTGCCACAAAATTATACTAAATCTAAAAATTGGCATTTTTTCTCCTCAAAATCGCGCTTTCGTCAATTTGTGACAATTTTTAACTGTCGTTGACTCAAAAAAAAAAATTACAGTTTTCGTGACAGTTTTAACTATCATAAAACTAACAAAATCTGAAAAGTTACGTTTTTTTCCCACCAAAACGCGCCCTATGATTTATAACAATTTTTTTTTCGTCTAAACTTTTTTACTGTTCACAATTGTCATGGAAGATTACTTTTCTACTAGTGATACTTGTATCTCTACCTTGACCTGTACCTCTACCTCCACCTGTATACGGAAATAGAAGAATATTTTGGGCAATTAACGGTTCTATATAATTTCCCCTTCCACATAAATATCCAAACACAACAAAAAATATGCAAATAGGAAGAAAACTGTAAAAGTACAAGAATAACAACATAACATATTATACTTGTTTACCACCAAGGGTTATGTCCACTCTTCCACTCATATGTGGGTAATTTACTAATAATTGTTTAAGGATTGGATTACAAAACTCTCCCCAAAAATATCTCCTAAAAGTCCCAACAAAACCCCCTAGCTTCTAAGTATTATCACACACTATACTTAAGTACAAGAAGAAAAAAAAAACACTCACTAACCCCGCGGGATACAGACTCCTTTTCAACACTACCCACAACCACTCAAGTCTCTTTTATTTGGATTCTGTACAAATGAAACATTAACATAAGGGCTCTATTTATAAGAGACCAAATATCCTAATTCTTATAGGAAAACAATATTATAATCCTTATAAAACAATAATATCTTACTCTTACTCCTCGTAGAAATTTGTAATAGTGTTGAAAATACGTTTCTTCATACGACATGAGTTTTTTGTTTTGGCTCCATTATCCCAACATAATACTAGTCATTCTTGTATCTTTTGTGTATTGATCGAAGAAAATGAGAGAAGATTCAATAGATGGCAAACTGATTATTCACAATCTTGCTCAAACGGTCGTGATCCTGCACTAACTTACAAGGTCTGGTTTTAAAACAAAAAACAACCTGTAAGGAAGGAGCAGAAAAATAAAAACCATAAGGGTCTGATGAAAAGGAAGGAAATAAAAAATGAAATAGAAGTAAACAAAATCATATAATTGATGAAAGTTAACCATGGATACTTGTTGGAGTAATATTATGATGAATCACCAAAATCAAAGAATTAGCTGTCATTAAATCACCAAAATGTGACGTTTGCTAATGCATGAAATCTATATCAATTTGCCTTGTTGTCGTGTAGATATTTTTTTATATTTGATGGGTCTTTTGAATTGTCACGTGAGAAGTTATTTGGGTTTGGGCTAAGCATTATCTTTTTATTTTTGACACCCATTCTCGAACTGGCGGTAGGGTTAGCCCAAACGTCAGGTTTGCAAGTCAATTCAAGATGCATTGTTTTAGAGAGTGCCTTGGTTAGAATGTCGGCAAGGTTGTTGTGCGAAGGCACAAAACAAATGATCAATGAGCTTAGAGCAACCTTTTTGTTGGGGAAAAAATATAGATAAATCGATCCTCCTATAAGTTGTTCAAATATGAAGTATTTGATTTTTCTCTTCCACAGGCTAAAAGCAGATAAGTAAGTAACAATAACAAAGGAAGAAGAGATAGGGATAGAAAAGTTTAACACCACAGGGATTATATTGGTTCGTCCCTATCTTGGGATTACGTCCAATCTTCCACGAAAAAGCGGGTTCAACTATAGTTTGGAATATTACAATGGAGATCTCACTCAAGATATTACTATCTTACTTCTGAGTACCCTTACAATGACTACCTTGAAGGGATGTGAATCCCGGAACGGAAGCAGACCGTTGTTCGTGATATTTGGGAAACAAAATCAAAATCTGCAAGAAGGAAAAACAGGGGAAAAATTACCTTTGAAGAACGTTTCTTCAACTTTTTCCCAACCAACACCACCAAATGATCTTCCTTGCTATCCTCTTAGGTTTTGAGAACACGCTTGTGGGAGCGTTTCTTTGGAACGAGAGAGAGAGTTTGATTGAGAGAGCTTGATCGAGAGGAAAAAAAATGGGAGTTCTATCTTTTTTTTTTGGGTTCTGTAACTATTGCAGGCTTTTGTAGAAAACCAGTGACGTGGGGAGTTACTCCATGTCACATAACTCCCTCGCAATAATGCAGGGGAGTTAAATATTAATATTAATATTAATAATATATATATATATATAATAATTAATATATAATTAATTAATTAATCATATTAATTAATAAATGTTAATTAATTATTAATCTAATTAATAATTAATATATATATACATATATATATAGCAAATAAATAATTAACCCTTAATTATTTATCACATGAATAGAATCATATTCTAAAATATTTCTCTCGTATAACCTATAGTTCTAATGTACATCTTATGCACATTATTTTTAACCTATAGTTTTAATATGAATCTTATTCATATTAATTTTATTTGAATCTCATTCAAATAATTTCTCTCATAATATATAGTTTTAATTAATAATTAACTATATATTATAATGTATCAATATACATATAATCCCTTAAGTAATTTGAACAATTCAAATTCTTCCAAAAACTTGATCCTCGTTTTACCCGTTATGAGCTAGCAAGGGGACCTAATGGACCTACAGATCAGAAGCTCCAACGATGCAAGATTAATCGGTCAAACTCATTGACCGAGTTAATCAAGATTCGTTAATTATGGGTCATTTCACTAAAGACCCGCAGTTGCACTCTTCTCAATACACAATGTTTTCGTGTCCATAGATATACGACCATTAATGACGAGTCAATCCTTCACAAGGGCTCGTAATTCAAGTCTGGTCAAATTACCGTTTTACCCCTGAGTTACATCTTACTCCTTAAATACCATTGCTCCTCTAATGAACAACCCGGTTATGGTCCGACCAATAACCGGAAGTCCCTCTCAGGCCAATAAGAGGGTGGGGCCCCTTGTTCAAGTCCCGGAGTCAGCATTTAAGGGAACACTCATCTACTCCCCTAAAGTCGGAGATGAGTGAATTTCATCTTGTGAAGTTATGTTCCCAGCTCCCCACTTGGTCTCATCCCAAAATGGTAGGAATGTTGAGTCGGTAACTTGGGCAACTCTCACCTATACAGATCAAAGGACGAGCCCTCACGGGCAGGAGTCCATAACTCACTCAGGATTGAGAATGAGTTGTCTGGTCATCCTAAGA